CCACCACCCTGGTAGCCACTATCAACTAAGAGATGGATTACTACAAAGCCTCCTACTCTCCCTGATCCTGTCCTTTCCCCCATAGTCAATTCTCAACTAAACAGCCAGAGAGAACTTGTTGTTAAGTCCAGATCATGAAACTCCCTATTCAGTAAAAGTCCTTACAATGACGTACAAGACCTGGCATGATCTCATCCCACTCTGCCCTCACCTTTCTCCACGTTAGCCACGATGGGCTTTCTAGTAATTTTTCAACTAACCTGATACTCTCCTGCCTAACAGCCCTTGCACTTGCCTTTCCCTTTGACTAGTACACTGCTTTCCCAGAGATCTAGCTCCCTAACTCCATTTCTTTCAGATGCCACTGTCAGAGGCTTTCCCTGGGCCTGTCTAAAATTGTAGCTGCTCACCTACCCTACTACATAAACACACTCTGAATCTCCCCTGCTTTATTTTTTTTCTTATCTGTTACCACTACCTAACATGTTAAATGATTTTAATTTTTTAACTTGTGTCTTGTCTCCCCCACTAGAAAGTTCTTTCTACAAGGACAGGAATTTTTGCCTGTTTTGATCTCCATTGTTACCTTAGTGTATCAAATAGGACCATAATAGACCCTGAGTAATTACCTACTGACTCAATCAATTATTCTTAAAGATTAGACAAGATGGCCAGGTGCAGTGGCTCCAGCTGTAATTTCAGCACTTTAGAGGCAGAGACAGGAGGATTGCTTGAGCTCAGGAGTTCAAGACTAGCCTGGGCAACATGCTGAAACTCCATCTCTACAAAAAATACAAAAAATTAACCGGACATGGTGGTGCACATCTGTGGTCCCAGGAACTTGGGAGGCTGAGGTAGGAGGACACTTGAGCCCAGGAAGCGGAGACTGCAGTGAGCTAAGATCGCACCACTGCACTCCAGCTTGGGTGACACAGTAAGATCCTGCCTCAGGAAAAAAAAAAATTAGGCAAGAGAATTTACATGTACTGATTGATAAATGATGGTGTCACCCACTCATTTAATCAACAAAACCAAAGAGACAGGTAGTATTACCTTTATTTAGACATGAGAAAACGAAACTACCCTGAGGCATAAAGATGGAAAATAGAAGATCTAGGTTTCACTTTCAGGTCTGACTGTGATGTTATTTTTTTTTTTAATACATCACACTACCTAACACATCAAACCCAATCATGTGAGTTTATAATAAATGTGTCTGCACCCTCTTCCCAAGTTAACAAGGTTCTGGCTGGAGACGGTACAGGCAACTAGTTAAAAGCAGATGCTGTGGGTTATACAAACCGGGGTTAGAATTTTGCTCTATCACCTGCTAAGGGGGTATCTCTGTATGACCTATTTGTCCTTCCCATGTTGTCTTCTCATCTGTAAAATGGGGACTGTGGTAGAGCCTAATTATCCAAATAGTTGTGATATGTAATAAAATAAAATAATACTCAAAAAGAGTTTAGCCTAATTATCCAAATAGTTGTGATATGTAATAAAATAAAATAATACTCAAAAAGAGTTTAGCCTAATTATCCAAATAGTTGTGATATGTAATAAAATAAAATAATACTCAAAAAGAGTTTAGCCTAATTATCCAAATAGTTGTGATATGTAATAAAATAAACTAATACTCAAAAAGAGTTTAGCCTAATTATCCAAATAGTTGTGATATGTAATAAAATAAAATGATACTCAAAAAGAGTTTAGCACAGTGCCTGGCACACTGTAACTCTCATTCAATCCTCATAACTTCCTAAAACACCAAAGCAACGTGTGGGAAAAGTCTTGTTTTGTTAACATCGTATTTAACCTACTCAGACAGCTCCTGTATAGAAAATTAATAAAAGCACACTTATTAACTCCCAGTTTGAGCATATATTATGTACTGAGAATGTTAAACTGACTATCTTATTTAACCTCATAATTCTATGAAGAATGCACATCTTTTCTATATGAAATCAAGAAACTATAATTCAGAGGAGTTAAAGTTGCCCAAGGTAATAGAGTTAGCCAATGAGTAGTGCCTTGGGGTCTGACTCCAAAGCCTAGAACTTCAAAAAGCTGCAGGGTCTTTAGAAGATACAGGTTGAAGGAATCACTGTATTCCCATCAGAAGAGAGCAGTATCCCAATGAGCTGTGAAATGAAAGGTAAACACCAGCGCTTTAATATTTTATATATATAAACATTTTCTGAACATGCCTTACGAATGAGGCACTGTGCTAGGCCAGTCACATGCTCTATCTCATCTAATCTTCACCGTCTTACAAACAATAAGCACTATATTACGCCCCTTTTGCCGATAAGCAGAGTGAATAACTTTCTCAAAGTCATGCAGGCGGGAATTAATCAAACCAGGATTCAAACCTAGCCAGGTCTGAGTCCAGAGCCGGTTCTCTCAAGGGCCAACCTCTGACAGGTCAAAGGGTAGTGAGTTGGCCTGTTCTCTGTGCCTGGAAGAGGACCTGTGTCTGATACTGATCGAAAGCGGTGGCCGCCCCGCTGCGTGGTCTCTCTCGGTCCCTCCCAGGACTCGGGCCCTATTCTCGCCGGGACGGCCCTCCCCGCAACCCCCACTCACGACGAGTCCTCGGCGGTTGGGGTCGTTGTACTGAAGCAGGTACTCTCGTTTCAGCCGGGCTCTAATGGCCAACCGCTCGACTTGCGCCCGCCGGCTTTCCAGAGATATGTCATATTCGGCTGGGTCGAGGGTCTGGGGCAGAGTGGCTAGGCGCGACGGTTTATACTTTGGGAACGACATCTTGGCGACCCAAGGCACAACCACGCCTGCGCGATTCGGAGTCCCTTTGACCTTCAGTTTCAGGAAGTGCGCTTGCGCGACAACAGAGGTAGGGGACGGCGTTAACAAAGAGCTCCGCCTCTTTCTCCTACCTTCCTGAACTTGCCGGCGCTCGCACAGTGATTTGCGCCTGCGGTGAGTGCTCTTCGCGCAGTACTCCCCGCCCCACCGCCGCTCCCCACCTACCCATCTGTCACCCTGCTGATTCTTCCTAACAGCCTTCTCTCTTCTGACATAACCAGGGCCTATTATGTAAAGTTGAGCTGTGTGGGACAGGCTGTGGAGTCAGAAGTCCGGATTTTCAGTGTACGTCTATCCGTGCTGTATCACCTTGGATAAGTCACTTAACGTCTCTGAGTTTCCTTTTCCTTATCCTGAAGATAATGACTCTTGTTCTGTCCACCTAGCAAAGTTGTTGTGAGGATGAAATAAGCTAACAAATAGATGGCAAAGTGCTTTGCAAAACAGAATTCCCTACCCAAGAAGAAGAGAATAAGCTTTTCTGTACATTACCATGCTAGATTCATACATTAAGTGTAAGCTTATTTTTCACAGGTACGAAATAATAATTAATAGGAAAAATGATGTTATTAGAGAAATGTAGCCTGACTATAGAAGATCAGGAAGAAAATGAGGTGTTGAATAAGGCTCATGAGAAAACAATATCTTAGTTAAAATCCTGAAACCTCTTGCCTAAAATCCTTAGCGCTGTTCAGATGCAAAGAATGAAAAACATCCTTACAGGTATGAAAATACTTATAGGGGCATTGTATCTTATTGTAAACAACGATCTGGGGTGAAAACTGAAGTAATTGGAAATAAAACCTTCTCTATCCCTGCTGTCCTTCCCTCTCCCCCAATTACCAAGGAGAAAAAGCAACTTCAGGTTTCACGGTATGGTCTTCGAGTACCAATAAGATACTCCTCAGGGGAAAAATGTAAACAATATTTTCATAACTGGGGCAAAGAAAAATGGATCAAAAAAGAGCCCCAGCTTTCCTGAAACGTCTGGGGGCATGTAGGTATGTTGGGAAATGGTTGCTAGGCAGAAAAGGGACCTAGAAAGTGTTGGCATTTGAAATGATGAGGAGCAGCACTGCTGTCAAATATATTCAACATTTTAATACTGTTTTAAAATATTTATTAAGCACCCACTGCATGAAGCACACAGCACACTAGTCGGTGTTAAGTCAATCGTTTAGGCTCAGTGGGGGAAATCCAGACAAAATGGAAGATGGGTGTTTGTCTTCCAGGAGCTGACAATCAAGCAGTACAGAAAGAATAGGCAGAAATGATAATATTTGCAAAGTAGTCTAATGTCCAGATGAATATAGAGCAAAATGGACTCGTGAGAATGCAGGCTGAGGGAATGCAGAAAAAAATGAACACAAGATGAGTTATTCAGACTCAATTTTAAAGGAGAAAAAAAGTTCTGATGTGTTCAGAGGTATTCTGAAATGTTAAGAAAATAAGACAATATGAAGCAGAAGCAGATTATAAAATTCTAAAGACTACATAAAGTTTCAAAACCCTGTATAGATAAGACACTGATCTAGGAAGGAGAGCATGTAAAAAAATGAAAGGATAAAGAAATGAGTCCAGTGAGTACAAACTGATGCAGGGTAGGCAAGCCCCAAAGTGGGGCTTAGGCAGCCAGAATCCTTTGCCCAGGAAAAGCCTAGGCTTTGCCCAGGAAAGAATTCAAGGGCAACCCGGAGGTAGAAGAAAGCAACTTTATTGAAGAGGCCGTGTTACGGCTCTGGTGGTGTCACAACCGTGACTGCTCCTGTAGAGCAGGCTACCCCAGAGGCCGAAAGCACCAGCTCAGGCCAGCTTTGAGTCACGTTTATACTCACATTTATTCCCACTTTTAATAACATGCGGATTAAGAGGCAGTTTATGCAATCATTTCTAGGAGAAGGGTAGTAACTTTTGGCTCATCGGGTCACTGCCCTGGAAAGGGGCGGTAACTCCTGGGTGTTGCCATGGCAAAGATGAACTGACATATTGGTGGGCATATCTGATGGAAAGCGGCTTCCACCTCCTCCCTGTTTAGGCTAGTGCTCAATTTGGTGCGGTGCCGGAGTCCCGCTTCCTACCTCAAAACCAGCTGACAAGGTTAAAGAAGATTTCTTAAGGTTACTGTAAAGAGAGAAAGCTTTGGATGAGTTAAGTGGTTATCACTACACTTACCTGATTATCACGAGGACTGCTTATGATGAGTGTTAAAAATAGGGAGGTTAGCCGGATGTGGTAGCATATACCTGTAGTCCCAGCTACTGGAGAGACTGGGGCCGGAAGATCCCTGGATCCCAGGAGTTTAAGTCCAGCCTAGGCAACATAGTGAGACCGCACCTCCAAAAAAAGAAAGTCGAAGTAAGAATAATTAGTAAATTAAAATATGGAATTTCTTTTTAGCTCCTAGTTCGCGTTCTCCAAGTGGAGATTCAAAATTGGTATGGCAGAGGAACCCAAGAGTCTGTATTTTTTACAATTTCCAGTGGGGGGTGGCGGTATTAAAATATATTACATGTTTGTAAAACAGAGATGAATACGAAAGGTCTTTCTTTTCCAAAGATAATTGGTACCAGAAAAGGCCCTATTAGAGTGAATCCATTAAAGATAGAGACGTAAATGCCATAGTGAAAGAGTGAAAGAAAAAGATTTGAACTTTATATGGAAAAAAATTTAACCACAAATTAGGGAAATGAATTTATCTTATATTTAACGCATTAGGTTACAATTGCAAGTATGTACTAATTCTGATAACTCAAATGTTTTGGAGGAGGAACATAATTTTTTAAATGGCTCATTATCCATCACTGTGCATTTGATTTTTGCAGCAGGGTCATATTTGCAAAAGTTTTGGAGGCGTTTATCTATTTTTCCCAAGGTCCTCTCTTAATCCTTTGAAATCAGATTATTTCCTTTTGAAGTTTGATGTCAACATTGTTCTCATTGATTTTCTCTTTTTCGTTTGTTATCTGGTCCAACTCTGTGAGGTCCTCCTTTATTAATGACTTTACATGTGGATCTCGCAGTTTTCTAACATCGCTTTCAAGATCACGAAACTCCACATCTTTTGCAAGATTTGCACTTTTACTTTGCAATAGATTTCAGTTGTATTTGAGGGCTGGATATTTCCAAATGAATGACCAGGACTTTGATAGAAGTGGGTGTAGGCACTAAGGTTAAAAAGATTGGACAATTTAGGTGGGGAACAATTTCACAAGTTGTCATTTCATCAATGAATGTTTCCTGTTTTGAAGATTTTACTTCCTCAAGAAATCTCCTCACAGGATTTATCAGGCCATAGGTTACAAGGAACCTATGTGTTTGGCTGGAAGAAGGGGGATAATGTGGTGAAGTGAAGGAGTGCAAATGAAAAGGGGTGGTTGAGTTATGTGAATAGGGCAGGGTTTCCAGGAACAGAAGATGAAATGGTGGATATAGAAACTGTAAGAAAGGTAAATCAAAAAACCTCTGTATTATCTTGCTTTTTCCTCTATAGAACACAATATTACAAAAATCTTATCTGAATAGGTAAACAAAGTGTATGCAGCCAAAATATATAGGAAAAATATAGAGGTATATCAGAAAATTAACACAAATATTTTATTTCTTCTATATTTTTCATTTTGTGATGTTTATGTTTTAAAATTGTAATTTATTATGATTTTTTTTATTATGATTTAGATAAATTTTATCTAAAATTTATAATTTTAGATAATTTTTCTTAAAGAAGCCTCCTCCAAATTATATACAAATGAGGCCCCATCAAATCTGGATGTTCCTGTTAAGGTTTCAAGGAGGAGACACAGAGTGGTATGTGAATTAATTTAATTGGCAAGAAGATCCAGGAACATGAGGTAGCAAGGACAGTCATCTCTTCAGTTACATAGCCACCCTGGGACCTTGCCTCCCAATATTGAAATGAACAGCTGCCCTAAGGGAAAATAAGAACAATATTTTAGGGTTTTAAGGATCCTACCTGAGCTCAAGTAACCCACTTTCTGTTTGTTCACCTAGCACTTACTCTTCCTCCAAAAGAAGACATTACTGGGTCAGTTTGACACTTCAGTCTAGATTGCCCCAAAGCACCGTATGGGAGGTTGGCTTCATTGTATCCAACTCTTCTGTAGTTCTGTTAACTTGGGCACTGTCCTGATCATTCATGAATAAGTATACAACCGTTTTCACCCAATAGGTACATGTAAGTCACAGATGCTTATCATATTTAGAAAAGGCCCACCTAGGACTACTTTATTCCTAAGTAGTAATGTATCCAGCAGGAACTTAGAGACTACAAGGCCTGTCCATGACAAACCTATGTTGCTTTCTATAGGTTTTTACTATGGCCTTGTAATGTCTTGTTATTTCATGGAGCAAATCCCTCTGTTTAATTGTAGTTTAAAATTGTCTAAACTACATTTGTTCCTTTTCTCTTTCAGATGAATTTTAGAATTAAGTTATCAAGTCCCATGGAAAAAAATCCATTGAGATTTTTACTGGAATTACACTAAATTTATAGCTTGATTTGGGGAGAATAGACATCCTTGTAAATATTGTATCTTCCTATCCGCAATCATTAGTCAAGTCTCCTTTTATGCCCTTCAATCATGTTTTGTCACTTTCTCCATAAAAAATTCTTGCCTCTCTAAAACAGTAATTGCTGCTACATTATAGGTATTTATTGCTGCTGTTATTTTTCCTATAACATTTTCTAATTGGTTATTGCTGAGATATAGGAATATTATTGACTTCTGTATACTTAGAACCAGTAACCTTGTTGAAATTTTTATTAGTCCTATTAGCTTTTCTTTACAGTCTTTAGAATTCTTCCATGTAGTCAGTCTTAGCTCATGCAAACAGCAGTCTTGCCTTTTCTTTTCCAAGTCTTAAACTTATTTTCTCTCTCTCTCTCCTATTGCACTTGCTTGGACCTCTACTACAATGTTGCCTAATAGTGGAAACAGGGGGTCTCCTATCTTGTTTCCCAACTCTAATTGAAAATAATCTGATATTTTACCATCATATGTGATGCTTGCTATAAGTTTTGACAGAAACATTTATTGGGTTAAGAAAATTCCCTTATATTCCTTGCCAAGAGTTTTTTTTTATTATTATTTTTATTTTGTACTTTTCTTTTTAGTTTTTTGTTTTTTAAAAATCGTGAGTGAGTGTTTAGTTCATCAAATGCTATTTCAACATTTTAAAAATCTATTATCTGTTTTTTTTTCTATTAGTTTATTAGAAAGGCAGATAGCCTTGGTAAGTTGTTCTGATGTGCTGTTTTGCATTCTGGAATTAACCTATGTCATGGCCATGTTGTATGATTCTTAATATGCTGATGAATTATATTTGTTAGCATTTTACTTTGAATTTTGTCCTTTATGTTCATAGGTGAATTGACTCTAAGGGTTGTTTTTTTTTTAGTTTATTTTGTTCTTGTCTAGTTTTGTTATTATATTTACATGTATACGTTAGCTATACTTCCTTCTTTTTAATAGAGGTAGTATATTTACATGAAATGAGTTGGATAGATTTCTCTCTCTCTTTTTTTTTAACTCTCCAAAACAGTTTGTATAAGATAGGGACTATCTACTTGATGAAGGCTTGGTGAATTATTGTATAACTGTCTGGGTCTTCCATGTTTTTTTCAGGGGAGATTTTTGTCTACATCTTAACTTCTGTAATGGTTGTTGGTTTGTTCAGTTTTTCTCTTTCTTCTTGAATTAATTTTGATAACTTATATTTTCTCAAATATCTTATTTTAAATGTACTGCCATAGAGTTTCTAGTCTCATTCTATGATATTTTTTAAATCTCCACTGTCTTTATAATTATGTTCCCCCTTTTACTTCTAATGTTATTGCTTTTTCTTTCATCCACTCTGCTAGAGGGCTATCTACTTAGTCTTTTAATAGAACCCATTTTTTAAAAAGATTTTATTTTTTTAGAGCAGTTTTAGGTTCACAGCAAAATTAAGAAGAAGATACAGAGATTGTCCATATACTTACTACTTGTGCCCCCACATAGATAGCCTCCCCCATTATCAACATCCTCCACCAGAGTAGTACAATTGATGAACCAACATTGACATCATTGCAAAGTCCATAGTTTACATCGTGGTTCACTCTTGGTGTCACACATTCTATGTATTGGACAAACCTATAATGACATGTATCCAATGTTATGGTATTATACAGCATATTTTCCCTGCCCTCAAAATTCTCTGTGCTCTGTATATTCAACCCTCCCCTCACCTTCTCACCAATCCCTGGCAACCACTGATCTTTTTCTCTTTCCATAATTTTGCCTTTTCTAGAAGGCCAATAGTTGGAATCCTATGGTATCTACGTTTTTCAGATTGCCTTCTTTCACTTAGTAATATGCATTTAAGGTTCCTTCATATCTTTTCATGGGCTTGAGAACTCATTTCTTTTTAGGGCTGGGTAACATTCCATTGTCTTCATGTACCACAATTTATTGATCCATTCACCTACTGAAGGACATCTTAGTTCTTCTAAGTTTTGGTAATTATGAATAAAGCTACTATAAACATCCACATGCAGGTGTTAGTGTGGACATAAGCTTTCAACTCCTTTAGGTAAATACCAAGGAACGTAACTGGTGAATTCTATGGTAAGAGTATGTTTAGTTTTATAAGAAAGCACCAAACTGTCTTCCAAAGTGGCTGTACCATTTTGCATTCCCACAACTGATTAGTGAGCATTCCTGTTGCTTCACATTCTCTCCAATATTTGATGTTGTCAGTGTTCTTATTTTGATCATTCTAACAGATATATAGGGGTGGCTCATTGTTGTTTCAATTTGCATTTTCCTGATGATACATAACACAGTACATCTTTTCATGTGCTTATTTGTCATCTGTGTGTCTTCTTCGGTGAGGTGTCTGTTAAGGTCTTTGGCCCAGTATTTATTTATTGCATTTGCTTGGACTTCTACTACCATATGTTAGCTATTCTGGGTCTTTTACTGCTCCAGATAAATCTTAGAGTCAGATCATTGATATCCACAAAATAAATTGCTGGGACTTTGATTGGGATTCCATTTTTATTTAGTTAATCATTTCTAATCAATACTTTTCCCTCCCTTCTACTTTTCTTGCATTTACTCTAATGTCTTTCTTCTAGATTTTTAAATGGAATGCTTATCTCATTCATTTTTGTGTTTCTGTTTTATAATGCATGCATATTATTCTGTACATTTCATTTAGTTATGTCTCCACAAGTTTTTATTATTATTTTCATTGGCATAGGGTTCTGAGTATTTGATAGCTTCCTGTATGATTTTTTTCTTAAGTCACAAATTCTTTAGAAATGCATTTTTTAC